TCTATACACAGTAGCCAGAGCAAGAGATACGATATATTTCTTTTGCATATCTGACAGTGTAACATTAAGCATTAGTATTTCGAATGAGTTAAACCTGTATCCTGTTTTCTGAGTAACATTGAGAATATCACTATATATTGTTGCAACACCGCTGCCACGACCAGTCTGACGGGGATCATGCTTATAACAGTAGCTTGGTGGAGTAGACTCATTTAGACCAATATAGTCATTTGGTTTGAGCCAGGTTTCAGTCAAGCAGAGTACATCAAAACTATTCTCTGTGATCATTTCATTTACAATAACTGCTTTTGGTGCGAGTGATCTAATGTTTAAGAGCCCAAGCTTTAAAATATGATTTTGTTAATTTATTTTGCATTTTTCCGGTTTAATCACGATCAGGTATTTTTTATAGATCCTGCATTAAATTTATATTTTGACCTCACTATTCAGGGAACAGACACAGTCTTTATAGATTGGACAATGCAAGTACTTCTATCATTTAAGCGGGTAGAACATAACCATTAGTTTAAAGCAAACAGTCTACTGAACCTTTCGTGTCCTAGACGAAGCTTTTTCCGCTTCGTCTATACGTGGGAAGCGGTCCTGACACAACGATCCTCGTCGCGGGCGATGTGCTGCGTACCGTCTCGATCAGGTTCCTGAAGTCCCTCTTCAGAGTCTCCGTCTGCCGCAGCTTAGTGTCATTCACGCCCACGTGCAGCACGACAGCGCTGATGCTCTCATCACCCTTCAGGATCGCGGGTATCTGGGCAGAAACATCGAGAACACGAGCACCCGGAAAACAGTGAGTGTGCACTTTACCTTTAGCTAGGGCAGCACAGACATGCCGGATGATGGAGTCTCCAACGATAATGGCGTTGCGTTCCGTCTCACGGAGGGGAGCGAAGCGGTTCCGGGTGAAGATCTCAAAGACCAGAGGCAACGAAGGGGGAGAGGTCCTCGCCTGGGGCCTGGCTCACGTCTTCCACTGCTGGTACACCCAGGGTCCATGGTGTCCCAGCGCGGGAATGAAGAAGACGTGGGAAGATCGCGTCCTGTATGTATGGGGCCTGTGCAGTGAAACACTGTGGAGTGTTAGCGACGTGCTGTATACATACCCCGGACTTGTGAGCGTCAGCCCGGGATGTTTCCAGAGCAGCTCTCCACTCTCGCAGCTGGGCCTGCTTCTCCACGGCCTCCAGCTCGAGCTGCACTTGGTGTCCTTACCAGAGGAGAACTGGCCCCCCGACTGAGCCTGGTTTCTCCCAAGGTTTTTTCTCCATTCTGTCACCGATGGAGTTTTGGTTCCTTGCCGCTGTCACCTCTGGCTTGCTTAGTTGGGGACACTTAATTTCCAGCGATATCGTCGACTTGATTGCACAGACAGAATTTAAACTGAACTAAGCTAGATGATGACATCACTGAATTCAATGATGAACTGCCTTTAACTGAAAATTGAGTGTTTACTATTATCATTTTAAATTATTGACACTATATTTTCCAAATTAATGCTGTACAGTTGCTTTGACACTGTATTGTTAAAAGCGCTATATAAATAAAGGTGACTTGATTTGACTTGACTATAAAGTGGGGCAATTCCAACTTTGCAAGGACAGTCTGGTGCTTCTGACTCACAGCCTGTAAGTAAGTTATTAAAAAAGCAGGGCTGCACGATAAATCGCATGTGTCGGTGAACAGTGGCTCTGTGTAGTTAATGCTGCTCAATGTGAAAGCAAGCACGTGATGGAGATTTACCGCTGATTACAGAACCGGCTTTCTGACAAGATGCGCATTAAATATCGCATGCGATTTATCGTGCAGCCCTATAAAAAAGTTATTAAAAGTTATTTTATATATTATATAAAGCTGAAGGAAGCTCAAATTGTCTCCGCTTCGCTTTCCCATTGTGTAGACTAGAGAACTGCATCCATTAGGCGCAGTCATGGCCTAATGGATAGAGAGTCGGACTTGTAACCTGAAGGTTACAGGTTCGAGTCTCAGGTCTGGCAGGGATTGTAGGTGGGGGGAGTGAATGTACAACACTCTCTTCCATCCTCAATACCACGACTGAGATGAGACCCTTGAGCAAGGCACCAAACCCCCAACTGCTCCCCGGGCACTGCAGCAATATGACTGCCCACTGGATTTTCGAAAGAAAAGGATTAAACATTCTACAGGCAGGGTTCAAGCTGCACTCAATTCAACAGCTTCTAACACCATGTCATGTAAAATAAAAGAGTTCACACGTATGTTCTTTCTTGCACTCTCCTTTACTGAAGAACCCCCTTGACACACACCCCGACTCTCTTTACCTACCTGCGCATGTTCAACAACCTTAACCAATCAACATCCATGGCAGGATGAGAGTTTCTGACATGGCTCTCCTGCATCATTTTATTGATGCATTATTACTTTGTGATTTAATTGATTTCCATGATTTTCAATGGAAGGGCCAAAAACAACAACTAGGAATTTTATAGATAAAAAGCAAGATCAAAATGACAGAAAGATTCTCAAGCATGTTAAACCGTTGATTGTGTATTTAATTTACTATGATTTTACTGTGTGTGTATGAGAGAGAGAGACTCTACAGGAGCAGGAATGAGGAAGCTGCTTTTCAGTCTTATAGACAAGTCTGTTTTACACACGTGACTCAAACACAGAACCAGGAATCAGGAATCACCTGATTTCAGGGAAAGAGAAACTGAAGTGCAGCTGAGCTGTTTTGTGTTTGTGTCTCTGTATTCAAGCAGTAAAATGGCAGAAGCCAGAATTTCAGTGGATCAGAAGGAGTTCTTGTAAAACTAGACACTGATGAAATATTGCTGACACACGTTTCATATGTGTATATATCGGCACCATATTAACAATGTTTCATGAAACAGACCTTGATTTAAGCAACATCAAATAATGTATTTAACTATTCACCGGTTCTTTGACATAATATATAAACTTGCATCAGTCAAAATGCAGAAACACTGTCAGTGTTAAGCTCTACGTCTGTGTCAATTTCACCTTTATAATACTTACGCTTGCAGTGTGAAACAGGCCTTAATCTTCATGATAATTCATGTATGATGATTGAAACCAATCGTCACTTCTGGAGTTTGAACCTACAGCCATTAGTTATCAGCTCCACTTTTACTGGATTCATCTGTTCACATGATGATTTAGTGGCAGTAGTTTTCTGTGAGATTCACTATCATCTGTTTGTCCTGCAGCACCAGCTGAAGGAGACGCAGAAGACGCTCCAGCAGAGAATCCAGCAGAGAGAGAAAGATCTTCAGCAGCTGAGAGAGGCTGTGGAGTCTCATAAGGTGAGTCTGGAGAAGAAGAGAAGTTTGTCTCCGTCTCAGTTCAGACTCACTGAAGCCTGAATCACTGTGTGTCCTAACAGCGCTCTGCACAGACAGCAGTGGAGGACAGTGAGAGGATCTTTACTGAGCTCATCCGCCCTATTGAGAGAAGCTGCTCTGAGCTGAAACGGCTGATCAGAGATCAGGAAAAGACTGCAGTGAGTCGAGCTGAAGGACGACTGGAGCGACTGGAGCAGGAGATCAATGATCTGAGGAGGAGAGACGCTGAGCTGGAGCAGCTTTCACACACACAGGATCACATCCAGTTCCTGCAGGTAACACAGATCTACAAGAACAGGATCAGAGTGGACTTGAGCAGATCCTGCTGTGACAGAGACTCACAGAGAAACATTTCATGAGTGTCTTATTATATAATCATCAGTCAGACTCTCATCTGATCATCTTCTTCTGAAAGAGACGCCGCTTACAAATGGCTTTCAGCTCTGGAAATCTCTTAGCAATCATTTCTCTGAGCTCTTTCTTCTGGAAGATATATTTAGCTGTCAAACACCACTAGAACCACCAACTGTTCAAAACTTATGTAACATTTCAACTTTTTCCTCATTTCTCCTTCTGATTTATAACTCTGTAGAGTTTCCAGTCTCTCTCAGAATCTCCTGAATCTACAGACGTAAATGAGGATCTCTTCAGTTCTCTCGTCTCTTCTGATGCTCTGAGAGAATCTGTCCATCAGCTGAGAGACAAACTGGAGGATTTCTGCAAAGAGGAGCTCAAGAAGATCTCAGACAGAGGTAAAGTCCTGGAGATTCATCTGCTCTCAGAAACCAGTCCATCATCAGCTCATATCATGGAGAACATCATATTAGAAATGTCTTAGGAATGGATGCAGGATCATGAGAATCACACTGTTCATGTCTGTTGATTTCCACAGTCACATTCACCAACATTGTTCCCAGAACCAGGAACGACTTTCTACAATGTAAGTCAGTAAGAAAACAAGCAGAAAAACTCACTGAGTGTGTTCATGTTCTTCCTGTAGAAGCTGAAAGAAGAGTTTTATAACTGATGATGTAAATGATGATTTGCACAGATATCTGCTCATCTGTACTGAGACACTGATGATACACTGAACATGAAGAGTTCAGCTACATGAAAAGATCAAACAGATTCATAATTCCTGATTCTGATGTGTTTTATCTCCATCAGATTCCCATCAGCTCTCTCTGGATCTGAACACAGTGAATAAACGCCTCCGTCTGTCTGAGAGCAACAGAGTGATTAAATACACTGACGCAAATCAGTCATATCCTGGTCATCCAGACAGATTTTATGTGTATCCTCAGGTGTTGTGTAGAGAGAGTGTGTGTGGACGCTGTTACTGGGAGATTGAGTGGAGTGGATTTAATGTGTTTGGTGTTGTGCGTATATCAGTGTCATATAAGAGCATCAGCAGGAAGGGACAGGGTTATGAGTGTGGGTTTGGATATAATGATCAGTCCTGGAGTATGATCTGCCGTCCCTCCAGTTACTCATTCATACACAATAACATAAAGACTGATCTCTCTGTAGAGTTCATCAGCAGGAGAATAGGAGTGTTTGTGGATCACAGTGCAGGAACTATGTCCTTCTACAGCGTCTCTGACACAATGAGCCTCATCCACACAGTCCAGACCACATTCACTCAGACGCTCTATCCTGGGTTTATGGTTTATAATGGATCAGTGAAACTGTGTTGATGAATCAGAATAGACTGACGAGAGATTCTACCCATAATGCTTTGAGCTGCATGATGAATCAGGAACAGTGAGATGTTATAGAGTCTCTTCTTTTCACTTCATAACATTAATACTGCAGCTGAACTTCTGTCAGTGAAATAACGTCAGAATATATGCGTGTAATAAATCCTTATATAGACAGTATAGCAGCACACTTCCTGTGAAAACACACACATACACAGACACACACACACAGAGAGAGAGAGAGCATCTTCTCTGAATGTCATATAATCGTAATATTGTTTTATCTTATGATTGTCTATCTTATGTATATTTCTCTTCATGATTAAGAGATCAGAGATTGTCTCCATTTCCAGGTTTTTAACATCACACGATGTTGTGAAGCAGAAATTTTCCATTACTTTTGGTTTGATATAATAACACTTGTTGAAGAAATCGGAGCATTGAAACATACACAACTAATATGATTTAATAAATCCTGCCCATTTGATCATCACTTGTCTCCTGCTTTCTGCTCTTCCCTGGATTCCTCTGTTAACCTCTCAGGATGACAGAAGACTTTGAGTTAACACAGTTTTGAGTCTCAGACAAAACGAATGTCTTCTGACAGGATCTGGTAAAAAGACTGGATCCAATATTCCTGGTATGGAGATATGCTCTTATGTTTTTGGTGCAGTCGTCAGGATGTTGACACCATTTTGGCACAAAAAAAAACAACAACAAAAAACAATAACAACCCAATGCTTTTACTTTTTTTCTATGCATTAACATTAAGTTCTCAAACTTACTGAAGACAACCAAACAGTCAATAATAAAATAAGAACAAAGAAACTAATTACAGGAAAATAAAATAGAACAAAAATAGAAATTAAATAAACAGTGCTTTAACTTAAGTAAAAGTACAGATATCTTACCAGAAAATGACTTTGGTAGAAGTTAAAGTCACTGTTTAGAATATTACTTGAGTAAACGTTTTAAATCTGTAAGATAAGATAGTCTAAAGTATGAAAAGCATTTTTCTGCAGAATCAGAATCAGAATGAGCTTTATTACCAGGTATGTTTACACATACGAGGAATTTCTGATGATTTCTGCATCAGAAACAGGTAGCATGTTCCGTAACTTAGCAATGTTTTTAAGATGGAAGAATGCTGTTTTTGTAACATGGGAAATATTTTCAAAATACAAGTTATTGTCTAATATAACACCCAAATTTTTGACTGTAGAGGAAGTAACAGTACATCTGTCTAGATGCAAATTGTAATCCAAGAGATTCTGTGTACTGTCTTTTGGTCCAATAAGTAATATCTCTGTCATATCCGAATTTAATAGGAGAAAATTATTGGTCATCCAATCTTTTACATTTTTAAGGGCTGCCCTTGAATACCTGTATAGTTTTGTAATCGATCTATGAGTATGTCATGATCTATAGTGTCGAACGCAGCACTAAGATCAAGTAAAACTAGCAATGAGATACAGCCTTGGTCTGACGCAAGAAACAAGTCATTTGTAATTTTAACAAGTGCAGTTTCTGTGCTATGATGGGGCCAGAAACCTGACTGAAATTCTTTATAGATATCATTTTTTTTGCAGGAAGGAACACAATTGAGCAGACACAACTTTTTTCGAAAATTTTAGACATAAACGGAAGATTTTAAATGGGTCTGTAATTTGCCAGATCACTAGGATCTAGTTGTGGTTTCTTAATAAGAGGCTTAATAACCGCCAGCTTGAATGGTTTTGGGACGTGACCTAAAGACAACGACGAGTTAATAATATTGAGAAGGACATACTGTTTTTTCACGCAATTCTAAAAACTTCCAAGTTAGTTTTTTCTCCATTTGCGTTCAAGATTACAAGTTTTTTTCTTGAGAGAATGGGTATTGCTGTTGTACCATGGCACAGTATGTTTTTCTCTAACCATATTTAATTTGATGGGAACAACAGCTTCTAATGTATTAGAGAAGATAGTGCCCATGTTGCTAGTCATTTCGTCTAGCGCATTCGATTAAATCTAGCGCATGATTAAAACGATGAGTGGGTCTGGTTATGTTTTGCTCGACTCCAAAAGAGTTTATGAAGTCAGTAAACGCAAGTCCTAACTCATCATTTATATTATCAACATGAATGTTGATAATATTCAACCTCCCTTAGCCCACACTATTAATCTACAACAGGGGTGCCCAACCTGGTCCTGATCAAACACAACTTAACCAACTAATTAGGACAGGTTTGTTTAATCAGGGTTGGAAATTAACTCTGTAGGAAGGTAGATCTCCAGGAACAGGATACACCCCTGATCTATAACAATACATCTGTTGCACTTTAAATACTTTTCAGCTACTATAACTTAAGTCTTTGGGAAAAACAGTTATTATATACAGTATCTGAAATGGATGCAGTCACCACTAATGTATATATTGTCAAAAATGTACAGCAGTCAAAGGGATTTCAAATCAATGGATTTATTAAATACAAAATAGAAAACATTCAATTCAGATTAATACAGCTACATATAGCCAAAAATGTAAATACACAAAAGTACCAAAAAAAAGCAAACAAAGCAATGTAAGATTGTAGGATTTCGTCATGTGAAAGTTGATGTGTGTGAAAGTCTTATCTGTAGTGCATCAATTTCCAAACACTGTTCGTAGCTAAAGTTGGCTGATAGGAAATTAATAATCCAACCTCTTGTAATGAAAACACGCCACAGCTCACAGACACCAGACTCTGTTCCTAATCAGGAACAATCAAAAATAGTCCAGACTATGGTCTCACGTCAAAAATAACTTTAAATCCATATTCAAACTGGACCATGATGTGGTGTCCTCACCAATAAAGAGTCCTTCTAAAATGCATACAAATACACTGTCTTAAACCTTTTAGCATCATTCCAAACATAGGCTATATATACATGTACCATGCATCTCTGCAAAAAACATCAGCAATGTACACTTAAATAGAAAAAAAAAAAACTCCCTTAGACTGGGCTTGAAATGAAACATTTCCCAACCAGGACACAGCACAATGTGTTCAGCAGGTGAGCCATGCTGGCTACTGCTGCTTGCTATTTCTAACTCTCTCTACAACATGGCTTTACTTAAGGAAACATAAAACACCCTACCCAGCCAACATGTATATGTGGGCCCCACATGGTTTATGCTGGGTCTACATGGGTACCAAGTGGGCATGGTCCCAAAATGGGCATCTTATCAAATCACATTAGAGCTACAGATTCTAGTATGTGGTTTCCAGAGGCGCTGCCCTGCTGGTGACCTGGACTCTGCTGCTGCTATGCTACACTGATTGTGTCTGTTTGTTTGTTTGTTTTAAACTTTTTTAAAGATCTTAAAGTTCTTTTAGACATAATATAATTGAGTGACTGTTTTGTCAGCATTATGCTGGCCTGGACAACGAGAATCACTGCTTTTGTTTTTCTCAGGTTGATTATATTCGGACTTTGTGAAAAATGCTGCGCTACGCAAGGAGCGTGGAGGATGTAAGTCTGCCGCCGCTCACTTACTCCAGAGATGCACTGTTGTCTCTTCGCACAAAGGACATTATTCCGGCAGTTGATTTTTTCCCTGTGACTGTGGAAGAGCGGCTACTACGTCGGAAATGTCTTTGAAAGAGAGGCAGGAATATGACAATGAGTCAGAAGGAGAGGCCACAGGCCTCCGCTCGCACGGCTATCATGGGGAATGTGCGTTCACTGAGACGGAAAATGGAAGAGCTTCGCATCAATGTCCGGGTGTGTTACGAGTATTGTGAAGCTGTCATTATAGTGCTAACGGAGACCTGGCTACATCAAAGCATTCCTGACTCGTTATTCGAATTGGATGGCTTTTCTTCGTGCGTCTGGATAGGATGGAGGCGACTGGGAAGAGCAGAGGAGGAGGTATCAGTGTTTATATTAAGGATGACTGGTGTACTCAATACACTGTACGGGACAAGGTATGTAACCCCAACCTGGAGTTGCTTTATTTGTCCTTAAGACCTGTGTATTTACCCTGGGAATTTTGGAACATCATTTTATGCATGGCATATATCCCACCGGATGGAAATGCTGCGAAATCAGCGGCTCAAACTGCTGATTGTGTTCAGAATAAGTTACAAAGAACAGTGTGCTCCCGTTTTTATTGTGGGTGATTTTAATCATTTTAATCATTTTAATCATTGTCAGATGTGAAACGCGGGATATTCTGGACAAATGTTATGGCAATGTTAAAAATACCTATAACGCAAAGGCGAAGCCTCCATTGTCCAGCTCTGACCACAATATGATTCATTTAATTCCAACTTATAGAACTGTTTTTAAAAGCAGGAAACCTGAGGTCAAGGCTATATCTGTGTGGTCAGAGAACAGTGTAGAGACACTTAAAGGATGTTTTTTGAGCACGGACTGGGAAATCCTACAGAACGGAGACATTCATGAGGCTACTGACACAACGACTGAATATTAAATTTTGTGTGGACAATGTCCTGGAAAAGAAATGTCTAACTGTCTTTCCCAATAACAAGCCATAAATTACCAAAGAAATTAAAGAATGTATTAATTGAAAGAAGCAGGCATTTAAGGAAGATTGGGTTGGACTGAGAGTGGTACAAAAAGAACTCACTGTTATGTTGAGAGGTGCTAAGAAAAGACATCAGGAGATCTTAGAGCAGAGGTTTAACTTCACTCCATCAAAAAAGTTATGGGACACTATTAAAGCGATGACAAATATGAACACTGGAAGTAAGCACCTCTTTACTAATAATGATTTAGAGAAGGCAACTGAATTAAATGAGTTTTATCTCAGATTTGATACACAGGATTACACTCAGGAAGGTATGCACTTCCCGGAGACTGTTGTAAGCGAGGACACTTCTCTCAGAGTGAAAATTGACCCTCAGAAGGTTTGTTCAATTTTTAATCAAATTAACACTAGAAAGTCCACTGGACTTGATGGTATTTCAGCTGTTCTTTTAAAATCATGTGCAGAGGAGCTCACCATTGCATGGTGTCCTGTTTTTCAACAATCTGTGGATTGTCATACTGTCCCTGATATTTGGAAATAATCTGTTATTGTTCCTTTACCAAAGACATCATGTCCAGTGGAGAATAATGATTATAGGCCAATAGCCTTGACATCATGTGTTATGAAGTGCTTTGAGAGGTATATGGTGTCTTTGCTAAAGACAGAGGTAAAACCTGTTTTATATCCACTCCAGTTCGCCTACAGACAAGGTCGTGGTACGAAGCATGCTATTAACACCATAACTAATGCTATGGCGAAACATCTAGAGAGTCTAAAAGCCTATGCACGGTTGTTATTCGTTGATTTTAGTTCACCTTTTGATACAATTAAACCCCACTGTTTGATTAAAAAACTGGGGCAGTTGGGTGTAAATCCCTTTTTAATCAAATGGTATTATTCGTTTTTAACTAATCGAAGGCAGCAGGTCAAGGTTAACCACAGTATACCAGAGGTTAGAAGGACAAGTACAGGTGTTCCACAAGGCTTTGTTAGTTCTCCGATTCTTTTTACATTGTATACAAATTAATGCAAAAGTCATGATTCCAGTAACCTCATAATAAAATACTCAGATGATACAGCTCTAAATCTGGTAAAGATGGCTATGGGAATTATAGGGAAAAGGGAATATCAAACCAAGGAATAATTTTATGAGCAGTCGGTTCTTAAGGAAGTTACTAAGATATTATCCGATCCCTCACATATAGCTTATATTCAGAATACGAGTTGCTGCCTTCTGGCAGACGATACAGATACATCGATTAGAGTTTATTTTACATGTAATTTTACGTTAACTTTGTTTTTTGTTATTGTGGTTTGGAATGTTGGCTCATCTATGTCTATGTGGGTTTTTATTATATAATCTAATGCTTGATCAGTGTATATGTATGCGGGCTCCAGGGTCCAAGACAAATTTCCCCATTGGGGACAATAAAGTGTACTGAATTGAATTGAATTGAATTTGCCACTTACACTCTATGTGAACTTTCTAGGAAATAGTTTGGATGATAAAACATCTGCTAAGAACATAAATTACTATCTAACAGCTCAAGACCGTTATTTATAACTTTAGAGCACTTAGAGACCCAGAGCTGAAAGCCATTTGTAAGCGGCGTCTCTTTCAGAAGAAGATGATGATGTGGGCAGTCCCGTAGTGTAGGCTGCTCACAGAGTGCCTGCGGTGAGCCCAAAGCTGTGGGCCTCGCCTGGGCAAGCCCGCACCGGGCCTGTTTAGGTTTAGTGTAGGCTGGCCTTAGCCCACTGTGCCTGCAAAAAGCCAGCATGGGCCCGCAAGGACATGTTTGCAGGGTTGACTAGACTTGACCTGCACTCAAAGGTAAACACAAATCTGCCATTTAAAGCAAATAACAGTGAGTAAAAGAATGGAGTGTAAGCAATGTAAACAAGATTAGCGGAAACCGCATTAGCAATGCTAATGGGCTATAAGCTAGTAGCAGACTTGGCAAATCAAAATAAAACTAGTGATAACAAGGTGCTCCAATTGTTTTTGTTGTAGAATACAATGGGGGATATATTCACACGTTATAGAAACGAAAATGATGGTGTATAAAATTGATTTTAAGATAGATGGTAAAGAAAATAGATGGTAAAGAATTAACTTGACGGAGCTTCAATTCAAAACACGCGGCAGCAACAAACAGGAAGTGACGTATGCCAAGTCAAGTCAAGTCAAGTTTATTTGTACAGCGCTTTTCACGATACAAATCATTGCAAAGCAACTTTACAGGAAATTAAGTTTCTACAATAATAATAGCAATAGTATGCCATCATTATCAAGAAATGTGTTTAGAAATGTGTCTTTGTTTGGAGAACTGAATGAATGGTTTGGGAAATCGGGCCAAATGAATCAGTTATAGTGTGTTAGCAATCGAGAAAAACTGTAACACAAATTATTAACAAGCTGTAGCCTAAAAATAAAAATGCTGAATTCTGAGGTTAACAGCTAAATGTATGATAATAAAAACAGCGGCTTGTGACGGCGGAAGACAGAAGAACACAAAATGCTGGAAAGGGCCGGAGCTCCATAAGGTGAATAATGAAAATGATTTATTGACTGTGTGTGATCATTTGAACTGAAAAGTCATTTTGATAGTAATAATAAAAATTGTGACACTACAATAAAAACTAAATGACTGATTTCAATCAACACAAATAAAAGCACAAAAACACATAGTCACTCAGCAGGACTCACACACACACACACACACACACACACACTGATCTTACTGTCTATATGAGGATTTAATACACACATTTATTCTGACGTGTTATTTCACTGACAGAATTTCAGCTGCAGTATTAATATCATGAAGAGAAAAGAAGAGACTATAACATCTCACTGTTACTGATTCATCATGCAGCTCAAAGCATTATGGGTAGAATCTCTCGTCAGTTTATTCTGATTCATCAGCACAGTTTCACTGATCCATTATAAACCATAAACCCAGGATAGAGCGTCTGAGTGAATGTGGTCTGGACTGTGTGGATGAGGCTCATTGTGTCAGAGACACTGTAGAAGGACAGAGTTCCTGCACTGTGATCCACAAACATTCCTATTCTGCTGATGATGGACTCTACAGAGAGATCAGTCTGTATGTTATTGTGTATGAATGAGTAACTGGAGGGACAGCAGATCAAACTCCAGGACTGATCATTATATCCAAACAAACACTCATTACCCAATCCCTTCCTGCTGATGCTCTTATATGACACTGATATACACACACCATAATCTCCACTCCACTCAATCTCCCAGTAACAGCGTCCACACACACTCTCTCTGCACAACACCTGACGATACACATCAAATCTGTCTGGATGATCAGGATACGGCTGATCTCTGCCAGTGTATTTAATCACTCTGTTGCTCTCAGACAGACGGAGGTTTTTATTCACTGTTTTCAGATCCAGAGTGAGCTGATGGGAATCTGATGGAGATAAAACACATCAGTCAGGAATTATGAATCTGTTTGATCTTTTCATGTAGCTGAACTCTTCATGTTCAGTGTATCATCAGTGTCTCAGTACAGATGAGCAGATATCTGTGCAAATCATCATTTACATCATCAGTTATAAAACTCTTCTTTCAGCTTCTACAGAAGAACATGAACACACTCAGTGAGTTTTTCTGCTTGTTTGTTATTAAACCATTTCAATTATTAATTATGTGCTAACTACTCTTGATTCAACATTAACTTTGAAGTGCTACCTATTGCAATACAATAGTCACTCAATAGCAACACTCTCCCACATATTTAGCTATTCTAACTGCGCTTATTTCCGTCGTTGGTATAAGTGGCAGTGGGTGGTAATAGACTAGAAATGTACAGTTTTATACCATCGTGCTGATAACATTTCTTTAGTCATTCGGCAATCCTACAGCCTGAACCACTGTAGGGAAACCACCCTTACAGTTATTTCAGGTTTTTGATCTCTCAACTGAGAGATTTATTGTTTATTGTATTATGTTGACTATTTAATATTACATCTAAACTTTGACTAGGCTAGACATGCTGCCTATTGATTTCATACAGTATATGAACCTGAAAGCATATTTTACTTTTTTGTGTATTTTGTGTTACTCCATAATAATTTGTAGTAGGTATGGGGCCCAAACATAACCTCAAGCCCAGGGGCCCCCGGCCCCATAAGTCCTGCCCTGCTCATACTGTAACACCTTCATATTCCTGCAGTCTGTTAGATGTGCAGAATCTCTGTGTCTCATGTGTCAGGTGTTAAAAATACTCCTAACACACCTCTACCACCATGCACTGTAAAAATAATCCTGTGTATTTACAGTACGTTACTGTATAAAAACATTGGCAGCTGTGGATGCCAGAAATTCACTGTAAAAATATGTTGATGGCATTTCAGATGCACTGGATTTACTTTAAAACTATTTTCACTCAGAAATTGTAAAAAAGAAGCAGCAAATACTTTGAATGAAATATGAAAAATATGATTTCCTTGCAAAACATTCTCCAAATAATATTTCTTTTATTTACGATTTTGAAAAATTTCCTGTGCATTATGGGGGGGTGCACAAAACTCCATCAAAAACACACAAGACACTAAAATAATGCAGTAAACACAGATAATATAATATAAAACAAAACCAAGAAGCAACATTACTTTAAAAATGTAATAATAAAGTATAACCAAATGTGATGCATCATGGAGGGAATTCTGAAAACATCTGGTTTTACTGTTTGTAAGTACAAGTATTTTCTTATTAACATAATATAAATTTTCACATTAAATGGTAATTAATACTTTTTACATAAAAAATAAATGTCAAAAATTTTCAAAGCTGTTGTCACGTGTTTGTTTCTGTTTAGTTCCTGTTTGCCCCTATTTGGTTCAGTTCCTGTTCTCATTTAGCTAATCATCATTTATTCTGTTCACCTGTTTTGATTGATTACTCCTCACCTGTTTCTGTTCTCCCTGATTACGTTCCATGTGTTTATAAGCCCTGTGTTTTCCTCAGTTCCCTTGTCTTGCGTTAAAGTTGTATCGTGGTTGTGGTCTCCCTCAGTTTCAGAGTGTTTTTTTTTGTTTTGATAATTAAATACTCTATCGTGGATTCCTGCCTCTCCGTGTGCTTCCTCCGCACCACGACCCGTGACAGAATGCAAGACCTTCAGAAAAAACTGAACGTAAGCGGTGTCTTTTCCCCCGTGTTTGTTTTCTGCCTTTTTGAATAGTTTTTGTTTTCCCGTTTTTTTTCCCCGCGGCATGGAAACCGCCACACATTTTGCCGCTCCGAAGACGAGCCCGCCGGCCGCGGCTCACTCCAGCCCGCTGGCTGCCATTGACCCAAGCCCGCTGGACACCGCAACGTGAAGTCCGCCAGCCGTGCCTTTCACCTCGAGCCTAGAGGGGAATCTGAGGAGAAGGTGGTTGGTTCTGGTCCCTAGGCTCGCTCCAGTGTCGGCTCCAGCCCCTGAGTCCTCTCCAGTGCCAGCACCTCGAAAGCGCCTTGCTGTGCCTGCTCCTCCAGGGCACCCGCCAGTGCCAGCTCCTCGTAAGCGCTTCCCAGTTCCCGAGTTTAGCCCACGGAGGGCTCCAGTTCCCGAGTTTAGCCCAGAGAGGGTTCCATTCCCCGAGTTTAGCCCAGAGAAGGCTCCAGTCCCCGAGTTTAGCCCAGAGAAGGCTCCAGCCCACGGAGGGCTCCAGTTCCCGAGTTTAGCCCACGGAGGGCTCCAGTTCCCGAGTTTAGCCCACGGAGGGCTCCAGTTCCCGAGTTTAGCCCACGGAGGGCTCCAGTTCCCGAGTTTAGCCCACGGAGGGCTCCAGTTCCCGAGTTTAGCCCACGGAGGGCTCCAGTTCCCGAGTTTAGCCCACGGAGGGCTCCAGTTCCCGAGTTTAGCCCACGGAGGGCTCCAGTTCCCGAGTTTAGCCCACGGAGGGCTCCTGTTCCCAAAGTTAGCCCAGTGACGGCTCATGTCCCTGTGTTTAGCCCAAGGAAGGCTCCAGTCCCTGAATCCCGTCCAGAGCACCCTCAAGTACCCGTTTCTCCAGAGTGCCCCCGCAAGATTCCTAGTTTTCCCCAAGAAATTTTTTTTGGGGGGGCCATATACCCGTGGCCGAGCCGGCTAAGGCCACGGAGGATCCGCCATGGCCTCCTGAGCTACCAGCTCCGCATGGCTCCCCGAGTTGCCTGCTCCGCCGGTCCAAGCCTGTCCTGAGGGACCTCCAAGGCGCCCGCCCTCTCACCCCTCGATGTTATGTGGCGCGAGGTCGCGCCTTTTGGAGGGGGGCGATATCTGTCACGTGTTTGTTTCTGTTTAGTTCCTGTTTGCCCCTATTTGGTTCAGTTCCTGTTCTCATTTAGTTAATCATCATTTATTCTGTTCACCTGTTTTGATTGATTACTCCTCACCTGTTTCTGTTCTCCCTGATTACGTTCCATGTGTTTATAAGCCCTGTGTTTTCCTCAGTTCCCTTGTCTTGCGTTAAAGTTGTATCGTGGTTGTGGTCTCCCTCAGTTTCAGAGTGTTTTTTTTTGTTTTGATAATTAAATACTCTATCGTGGATTCCTGCCTCTCCGTGTGCTTCCTCCGCACCACGACCCGTGACAGCTGTAAGTTAAACAAAGATTATTGTAGTATATTTTACTGTGACATACTGTTTCAGTTATTCAGTATTTTATGTTTAATTAAATGCATTACTTGCTGTTTCTTTGTAATTGTGAAAATTACTAACAATTTCTGAGTGAATTGTGTACACAAATATTTTTAGTGTACATGGATAAGCCTGTTTATACATTTTATATATGTGTGTGTAACATTTATTTTAAAGGTAGCTTTTTTTTTTTTTTTTTTTTTTTTTTTTTTTTTTTTTTAGGGGGGGTTTTTTTTTT